CCCCCCCTCCCCGGCGGTTCTGGGCCCTGCTGGGCCCCGCCGTGGAGTTGAGCGCTGAGGCCGCCGTCTCTCGCCGCCTCTTCGGGGCCCGCGCTCAGGCGGGATGTTCCGGTGCTGGAAGCGGAGCCCGGCGCTGTGGTGGCTCAGCGGTGGCGGAGCGGGGCGGGGGCGGCAGCTCGGCACTCCGTAGTTGGGCGTTTCGGGGTACGTGCGGGGGAGGAGCGTGAAGGGCGCCGGAAAAAGGGTTTCGCCTTGAGGGTCTTCAGCTCCTTTCGGTTGTCCTTTGTAGAATGAAGACCATTCTCAGCAACCAGACTGTTGACATCCCCGAGCAAGGTACGTCTGCCTGGGCGCTTGAAAGGGCTTTGCGGTGCTGACCCCGCAGCCGGTTAACGTGCCGTCTTTGGTTTCCAGTCACCGTTTCACTGAAGGGCCGGACGGTCATTGTAAAGGGCCCCAGAGGAACCTTGCGAAGGGATTTTAACCACATCAATGTGGAGCTGTCCCTCCTGGGAAAGAAACGCAAGAAGGTGAGTGCTGCAGAGGTCATTTCGCTGACCAGTGAGGGAGGGTAGTTTCGCAGCTGAAAAACTTCTTGGTAATGTAGGAGGTTGAACCAAAAGTTTTAGCTGCAGATGTCACTTAATTTTTCGCTTATTTCTGTTTTTTTCTGAAAGAGGCTGGTCTCAACAAAACTTGGGACCTACTTGAGCAGCATGGAAGTCTTGAAGTTCTGTCATGTTGGAGTGAATTTGTTGATCAATTTCCTTTGTAGTTACAGTCTGTTACTGGGAAGGGGTTTGGTTGTTCTATGCCATGTTTTATAAACTGGCTAGTTTTATCTAGATAAAAGTACATCTGTGTGTCTTAACTTCCAGAATTGCCAAGTTACATCAAGAGAGCAGATGTTTTCCTAATAAATACGCAATGTTTTTGTATGGTCTTAAAAACTACAAAAAAAGGGTAAGAGTGGCTGATTTCAGCTACTTTTTCACAAGAATCTAGTGCTTTATTAAAAAATTGATAAGATTATACATAGGAGACTAACTTTGAAACAATGCGTTTAGTGTGTGATAATATATCCTTCAGCTTAAGATGTCAGACTGACAAATCTTTGAAGATTTGTTAGTAGTGAGACGTGAAGAAAACAAATGTTTGTCATACGTGTGGGGGTTAGGACTTAAAAGACTTGAGGTAGGTGGGCCTTTAATAGTCTGTCAAAGAAACAAAATACTTCTGTGCTTAACTTTTTGCTTGTAGTTGGTCACAATTTTTTTTCATTTGGTTGTTTTAAAGTGTAGCGGAAAGCTTTGTTAACATTTTTTTTTAACGCAGCTACGTGTTGACAAGTGGTGGGGTAACAGAAAGGAGCTGGCAACAGTTCGCACAATTTGCAGCCATGTACAGAACATGATAAAGGGTGTTACACTGGTAAGTTTTATTTTGAAACAGGAGAGCTCCTCTCGTTTTTGTTACTTAAAACAGTACACAGCCTTTTACTTCAGTGAGAGCTTTTCTAAGCATCCAAGATGTACCTTTCTCTGTGTCTCTACTTTTTTTCCTTGCACTTGCTGTCAAACAAGTTCTGCCAGGGGAAGAAGGTGTGAATGTCTGTTGGGCTCAGTGTTTTGCTTTTGTTAAGAAACTTTTTAATGTCTGGGATTTCGATTTCTCCAGTAAGCTTAATGCCTCTGGTTTACCTTTTGGAAATGTTCTGCTTTTGATACCTGATGATGTCCTTTATTGTAGGGCTTTCGTTACAAGATGAGGTCAGTGTACGCTCACTTCCCAATCAACGTGGTTATACAGGATAATGGCTCGCTTGTGGAAATCCGAAACTTCTTGGGAGAGAAGTACATTCGCCGAGTGCGTATGAGGCCAGGTGAGCATATCTGGAGATGCACTTCAGTATTTCCAACTGGGGTTTTTGACTGTTTTCTTTGGGTACTGCCACTGGTACAGGAGATGGGGGATAATTGTTGAGGCAGCATTTGCCTGTTTTCATTTATGTAATCTTATGGTACCTTTGCCACTGTTTAGATTTTTATTGAATGGTTTTGTAATTTCTTTTTAGTAATGAGAGCCAGCTAATTACTAGTTTAGAGCTAGTTATTGCAATATGAGTTACAAGGAGCCCAGTGTTTACTTTCGTCGTAGTGCAGTCTCGACAGTGCTCATAGTTGGTAAACTTGCAGGTGCTCGGTTTTAGATTTGTGTTGCTGTTTTAAACATTGTACATGAAGTAGTCTCACACCACATCATGTTTTTGGTCTTAGAAGTGTTCTCATATTTTGAATTTCCTGATTGATTAGGAGCATGAATAATAAACTTCAGAATTACTATCTTAGTTGTTGGTTTTATGTCTTGCATACTTGGGAGTTTTAGCAAGATGTCTAACAGAGTAGGTGGTTGATGGAGCTTGTTAAACTTTCAGAAGGAGGAGACAAAACATGTCATAAACACAGTTACCTTAAGACTGTAGGGAAGGCTTTCCATATCAATTTTTTTGATAGTTCCACTTCTGGTGAAGATATGAGTAAGGATATTTAGTGTGTTTTGGGGTGGCTTTTGATGAAAGCATCAGACTTGTTCAAAACCATTGGTAGATACAGTGTGGGGTTACTTACAGTGGCTTTGACTTTGATTTACTGTGGATATTAAGGATGGGTTTGATTATTGTATTTGATTTTTGTAAGTAGGCATTTGCTTGACAGATAGTAAAGTGGTGGCTTAAAATCTAATGGGTCAAACTATAAACACTTGTGTTATTCTCCTTGCAAATGAAAATTTCCAGTTAGCCTCTTGAATGTCCTAGTGTTTACTCTTTGTGAGTATTCATGGTGTTGCTAGTATAAACATGGTGCTTGACATGTCAGGGGGCAGGTTTGTTTTTTTTTTTAATGACACTTGATTAGGGTGAATCCAGTTTTGTCTTAATGAGCAGAAGAATGTGGAAAATGGCACCACCTAGCTGACAAAGCCATGCTGGCAAAATCTCTGGCTTATATGCAGTGTTAGTGATTAATGCTGTAATGTAGTAAGATGTAGGTAGTAATATCACTAAGTTGCTTTTAATCCAGAGCATGACTTGCACTGATCTTTTGTGTGCTGAAACTGCGAGGGAGTACCATCCTGAAAGGGACTTGGGGGACTCTTTTAACCAAGTTGCAGAAGCTAATTATTGCCTAGAATAGTACTTTCTAGATCTGTAAATTGGGACAGGACATGAATACTGTTTCTTTAGCATGCTTAACATTGTCACCAACGACAACTCTGCGTTTTTCTTTCTGTAGGTGTTTCCTGTGCAGTATCTCAAGCCCAGAAAGATGAGCTGATCCTTGAAGGGAATGACATCGAATTGGTTTCCAATTCAGGTTTGTGAAGCAGATGTGTGGGAAGATAACAATGACATGGTCACATTTATCTGAAGATGTCAGCTTAGCAAACTGTCTTTTGTCTTTTTTTCCTCAAACCCTGATATAAATGACAGCTTGGTTTTATTTGCCCCTTGTGTCTCTGTAATTGCTTTTCATAGTTTCTTTATGATTTTTCTAAATTTATAAGATATTTTTACAAGTCAACAGAACCTTTTTTTTTTGAGTCAGTATCGATGGCCTTTTTGGGCAGAAAACTTTTCAGCTTTTCAGTTGTGTGAGTGTACAGTAATAAACTGGCACTGCCCTGAGTTTCCAAGATGGACTCAGTGAAATACATTCTGTTTTTGTCAGAACTGACAGGATTTCAAGGTGGTAATTCCCTTCTCAAGGTGACAGTTTCATTTGTTAGTTGAAATACTGGAAAGTAAACAAAGGCTACGTGTTGGCATGGTCCTCTTGCTTTGTGCTAATGGTCTTGCTTTGTCTGTAGCTGCCTTGATCCAGCAAGCCACTACGGTCAAGAACAAGGATATCAGGAAATTCTTGGATGGTATCTATGTCTCTGAGAAAGGAACAGTACAGCAGGCAGATGAGTAAAGCTCTTTAACAGGTTGGTATCATCTCATGCAGATCGTACATCTGTGTAGAGACACTTACTTGATCTGGGGACTTGACAAGGTTTATCTGCTTAAACAAGGCTGTGGTTAAGCAGGTTCCCAACAGGGATGCAGTTGTGCTTGTAAGTGGCATCATAAGAGGCAGCGTAAAACTTTAACTTTTGCTAGGTCTCTTGACAGCAACTTTACATCTCTCATCAGCTTGGTGTCATGCTACTGTTTGGAGAAATACCTCATTCACGTGCCGTATTCCGTGCTGTGCATGCTGCTTACCATGGTGGCTGAGAACTTAAAACCAGCTGGTTTAGCATGACAAGCTAGTGTACAGCTATTTGCAGAGAAGACTTAGAGAAATGTTACTCCTGGTTGGACACTGACTTCAATAAAAAAGTGATCACATAATTTATATATAATGGTCTTCTGTGTAGTTTGTGTGTAAATGCTTGTAAACAAAGGTCAGTTTAACAAGGACAACTATTTAACGTGGTGTTTGTACGTTTGTTCCTGAAGTTGAGTACAAGGATTTTGGGATGGATGCGTTTCAGCTATGTATGGTTCCATACGTGGTACGAAATGCTTGTGCAGAATGAGAGACTGACTTGCAAATAAAATAGGTATTGAGTGCTTTTTGAACCTAAGCTTCAGACAGATGATGCAGGCGAAGTGAGTTTCATAAACTAAATTTTTTTTTATCACTAGCCAGGTACCAGACAAGCCACTGGAAAAATGATTTTTAGTGCTGTTCTGAGTTCCTTGGGAGACAGAACAACTTGTTACCTGCTTGTTAAGTGGTCATGAGCTGTTGTGTTTGAAGGCATCTTTGAATAATCTGGCCTAAATAAAATTAAGCAAATTCTTTGAGCTATTAGTGTCTGTCTTGCATTAAAACTCTCAGATAAATTAACCTGTTTTATGTCTGTGAACTTTCAATTTCACATTCGCAGTACTAAAACCTTTCTAAAAGCTCTTAACTTTTTTTACAGTTGTCTGGATCCTGAAACAAACCACCATGAGACATTATATCAGCAAGTACCAGATTGAAGAATCTGATACAAAACCTGAACACCGCGAGAGGTTTAATAAAATAAAACCTATTTCATATCTTGGGCCCTTTTTTTTTTTTAAGAACTAAATGGTGATTGCGTGAACCCATTCAAGAACTTTTGACTTTTGAAGAAGCAGCTTGTCAGAGGGTAGTGCAAGATAATGTTAGCTCTGTGTACGTGCTGCTTACCCATCTTTGAGAACATTCAAACTGAAGGAAGTTGGATGGTTTGGAAACCTCATGCTGCTGGAGTGTGGGCCCAGTATGTAAAGCTGTGAAGTGGTAGTCTTAAATCATAGCATTAAAAAATAGAAAAAGCATTGTTCTCGCAGAAAGACAACTAGTGTTGTTTCACATTATTTCAGAATCTCGAATCAATGACTGCAAAAACTGATTTCTGGAAAGGAGTTCAGACTTGTGCCGACAGAATCTGAAGTAGATTAAAACGAAAATTGGGATCAGTGGAACCAAATTTATAAGACTATTTAAACAGAATACAGAGATTGGAATAGTCTCAAAATAAGATGCTTTTAGCTCTATTGCTTAATTAAGAAAACCAAGGACAACCTCAGAGTTCAGGCAGAGCTTCAGTTTCACCAACAGTGATTTGTGTCATCTGGGGATAGAGCTCTTTTTTTTTCTTGGTTATTAATCTTGCCATGTAGCAACATCTAGTTGGGATGTTTGGCAATTTCTATGCTATGCTAAAATCCAGATAGTCACTTGTTCCATTACATTTTGGAAAAAGATTTAGAGAAAATACTGGGATACGCATCTATGTGTGCCTGAGAAATTCAGAAAATTGCCCAAAGTGCCCATTTGCATCATTCTACAGAGTTCAGCAGAAGTGTGGTACCAGTGTTTCCAAGCCTGGAAGTAGTACTAGACTGACTGCAGACATAGAAGTTGTATGGGGCCAGCTCGTTATTTTTAAGGTAGGTTCTTGTGCTGTTCAGATGCTGGCAGCTAAAGGAGTCTAGTTCCAAAATTCTCTCTGCTCCCACAATGCACTGGGAATTCACGAGGAGTTTCCCCGTAGTATGCTGCAGTTTGGTTCCCCGCTTGCTGTGAGTGGTAACTTGTCAGTGTCTTGGGGGGATGGAGGGAGGAATGCACCTCTGATACCTGCGCTGTTTGCTGCGCTGGTAGAACATTTTATAGCAAAAAATGGGCCAGAGTCCCTCCTCGTTTCATTAGTACTTACCTTTTGAATCAATGAACCTGTGGTGATGTTGAGCAATGCTTGAAATATCATGGGGAAACAATCTCATGCGTTTATGATAAACTGAGACTCAAGGTTGGGTCAAGTATTGGGAATTTGGGGTTCACTCAGTTGCACTTGTCCTCAAAGTGGCACTTCCACAAAGTTTCTAGTCGTCTTAAGTGGCTGTAATACTTCATGTTACCGTTTACTTTTATTGTAATACATTATCATTTAACTCGTGTACGATGCTATCTTGTGTGTTCAGATGCAGTTGGAAAAGACCGTATGTATGTCTGATCTCCTTGGAAGCATGTACAGATAAAGTGCATCTATCTGTTTTGGGGACCTCAAGACTGATGTAACTAGCTCCTAGTGGGAACAGGTTGGGGGGTTCACTGCCTCAAAAACGGTCCTAGCCACTGGAAAAGAGGGTTGTAAAGTGGAAGAAGACCGTAGGAGTTTAACTGATGGCTCTTTTTGCCCTTCTTTCCGTTTCTAGAGCAGCTTCTCTGCCCCTCTCCAGAGGTGCGTGGTACCTGCCTGGGCAGTGATGTTATGATGCAGTGACTGAAAAGGCTGGCCAGTGTGAATTTTAAGTGAGGGTGCAGTTCACAGGAAAGACCTGATGGGCTCATTTTGAGATGGCCAAAATCGGACCATGGGAAAACTCTGGGTTTGGTCCCTGAAAAGTTTAAACGAGATAGTAGGTTCATTTATCCTTTAAGAGCATTGTACCTGGCTCAGTAGCTTTTGTTTAACCCAGCAACAGCAATAAACTCATGGTTTCGTCCCACCCATGGCTTGTACTGGCACTTAACCACAGCAAAGATGATAACGTATATTTATTTCTATGAAAAAGTGCACTTCAGAATTATATTCATCGCTCTCTTGAGTGGATTAATGGTTACTATTTTGATGTTCTCTGCTAGTAAAAATGTTTACTGCTGCCCCATTTTGGAGATGAGAAATAGCGATTGTATATTATTTCGGCTTGTCTCCTGTGGGTCCAGTTACCTTTTGTTAACATCTGATCTGTCTTTCCCCCAGAGCGTAAGAGATACAGGTATGTTAGTCAATAATGGAGTTCACTTGGATTTGTTCTTTTAGAGGCATCTTCAGAAGCTGGCCCAGCACATTTCGTTCTTGGTGGCGTACTCAGTTGAAAGTTTGTGAGTTTTAATAACACTTTTATTTGTAAACCCTGACAAAGGCAGTTTCATGCTCAACAACATTCATAACATGAATTTACATCATGGCGCTTTGGTCCAAAGAGGTTCATAGAAAAGTGCATATCAGTTCTCACAGCTTAGTATCTCTTCAAGTCAAACTGTTGGAAAAGTTATTCCAAGGCACGGGAGTCTTTTTTTTAAAAAAAAAAAAAGATGAATTTTACTTCTGCATACGGAAGGTGGATAAAAATAATTTTACTAGAAAGAAATGTCATAGCTCTTCTTCCTGTGCATACGATTACTTTCCGTTTTCCAACGGAATGCTTGGTGTGTATGAGTGGAGTGGCTCACATAGTGCTTTTCTACACCTGTCTGATCTGCATCCTCCTCTGTAGAATGCAAACAGTGACGGATGTCACTGAAGGTGGGCTTGTGCCCCCTTTTTAAAATGAAACACAGATGCATTGGATGCTTTTTGCCTTAAAACGTTTTCTTCTTTTCCTTTTGTGAAAAACAATAATGGTTAAAAGCAAGATAAGGGTAGAGAAAAGGCAGCAGGCAAAGAAGATTAACGGCTTCTTCTGAGAAATAAACAAGCAGAAGCTACACTGCTTTTCTTGGTTGGAGGGATCGCAGACTGAATAGTCGGCAGGAAAGCCGTTGTTGCTTATCAGGTTATTGTAAAATTTTATTGAAGGCTTTCCTTTTGAATCCGAAGTGAAGAACCCAAATCTAGGCTTAGATTTTTCTTCCGTCAGCTTAAATGCATAGTAGCCTCTGATCTTGACTTTATCAATGTAGTATGCTGGGAAGAGGAATAAAAAATGAAACAAATGTTGTAAATAAAACCTTGCATGACCTCTAAACCTTCTGGTAATGAGTTCAGATTTCAAACGATTAATCTATCAAAGTGTAATTGCGTCATAAAATATTTACTTATACTTACCGCTTCTAACAATACTTGGCTCCCACTGTCTTAATTAAGTAGAAACAGAGCATCATTGCATCATTGTTCAAAAAAAAAAAGTTAGCATTTGGACATTTTCTGGATCTGCTCTGTGAAAGCTGAATTTGAACAGGGTTAGAGCTGGGAACTTGCTTTCCTGGGAAAAGCCAGATGTTGCTTGTTACTGGCCCCAGCTGCGATGACTCAAGGGGAGCTGCTGCTCATCTGTGCCATGAGAGGAGCTTTCTGAAAATTCCTACCCTGCTCCAAACTCAGCTGCTCAGCCCTGCAGCATGCATGACTGTGTATTATACTGCTGCACGCAAGTGTTGGGTGAAAATAGTTTAACAAAATCATAAATAGCAGTCCTTGGTGAGTAAACATCTCTCCAATTCACGTGTAAGCAGGCAGCATAGGCAGGGATGTGATGCAAATTGAGCAAGAACGTTGTAAATGGAGGGGGGAAATCTTTCTGTGAGTGCTATAAAATATCACGCTATCTGAAAATTAAAATGAGAATGCTATGATGAGTGCCCTTTAAACAACCTTTTCCTTTAATAACTTACTGTTGTCCTGGTTGCGATGTGAAATTAGCACAGAAAATAAATCAGCAAATGCTCATTAGTCCTCTAGTAATTGAGAAAGAGCTAAGCACTGCAGGGGGAATGCTCTGTTTCTTGTTGGTGCCTAAAAGTAATCTGAAGCCATGCTTAGCCATGAGTAAGAGCCATCTCATTTTTTTACGTAGATAGCTCCTAGAGAGGAGAAACCAGGATACATAGACTATGTGTGGGCACAGATGCGTCAGAAGAGCTTTTAGACACCCCACGTCCTGCTCAGGGAACTCGCTAATGCTTGTCCATAGGGAACAACGAGTGCAGAGATGTGTTGCACATCTTGCTCTGGCTGTATGGTTCAGGTAGTGAGGCCTTTTTGATATCCCATGGCTCACTGCTTTCCTTAAAGTTTGGTTGGAGGAAGAGGGATGGGAGGGGTGAGGTCCCTGCAGCATTTCTCATGCAATAAATTATTGCTGAAGATTGTTGCCTTGAATGTTTTTACTCCATAATTGTTACTAATTTTTCTCTAAAGTGAAGAGCTAGATTTCTGTAGGTGCACAGGAGAAAGCAAGTAGTGGAGCAGGAACTAGAGTTTGACTGTCCCTTCACAAGCAGCTGCTTAAAAATCTGGTGACCTGTATTTCTTCTCTCCGGGTCTCCTTGGACTTGCTTGTGCTTTCCTGCCCAATGGCTCTAGTTCAGCAAGCAAGTAAGGAGGCTCCCACCTTTCTTTGTAGAGCAGAAATTAAGAGTTGTCTCTTGGGAGCTGGTGGTCTGAAGTGCCATCTCCTACTAACTTCTGAATAACTACTCTACTGCATATGCATGCCCAGATGGCTTCTCACGTGGTTTAAACTGGAAGCAGCTGTGGCTGCATTTCACATGAGGGCTCGATGCCGTTGCTTTGTGTTGTGTCTACCGTTAGCGTGCCTGCCAAATCAGGCCCCTCAGGAGGCTGGATGCTGATGGCCAGTTCCTGCATCTCAACCAGAACTGCTTGTTCTCTCTGGGGCAAGTCTTAGGTGCTTGCTTAAGGAATGCTTGGGTCTGTGCCACGGAAATGGATGGCTCTGGGG